TAGTGTATGCATTCAGGGATATATATTAATCGGATCCGACAGGTAGTAGGATGTGTGCGTTCCGCTTCATTTCCTGTTCCTTGTTTGGTTGTGGGCTTAGAGCAGATACACCCAGCCTACTATCTATCCGATCTTATATATATATATATATATATATATATATATATATATATATATTATATATATATATATATATATATATGTGTGTGTGTGTGTGTGTGTGTGTGTGTGTTTCCGTATACCCTAAGTAATCATAAGGGGTACCAGGTATGGGCCAGTTCATAGGACACTAATTTAATGCACCGTTTTCTAGTACAAATCATACTTTTCAAGTAAAGAACTTGTATACCAGTAAAGGGTGTAATCCATTTTTATTAAACTAGTATAACTTAAAAGACCTTAGGTGGTTAATTCTATAATACCTTAGTTTATACATCATGGTTATATATAATTAATATCCGATAGGTAGTTGGATGTGTGCCTTCCGCCTCATTCCCTGTTCCTTGTTTGGTTGTGGGCTTAGGCAGATTCACACAATTAACTATCTATTCGATATTAGATTATATATAGCTAGTATAAACTAAGTGATTATAGAAGGAACTACTGTGGTTACCATTTTTACTATAAGAAATAAGGGTTTTCTTAAAGAATCTTTCATTAAACATAAATGAACTATTACAGTTAACTCCGTGAGTACCAAGTGAGTACGCCAGGGTTATATACAACGATGATCTAACAAACAATGGGATGTGTGCCTTCCGCCTCATTTCCTGTTCCTTGTTTGGTTGTGGGCTTAGGGCAGATACACACAACCGATTGTTTGTTTACTCTGAGTTATATATAACTTGTATCCATTTAATACTCATAGAAAGGATTGTAGAGTCATTTTTACTTATCTTTCATCAAAGCAGGAAATAGAGGATTTCCTGGAGGAACAGGCAAACTTTCTAAACAGAACTTACTACAACTTACTACAACTTTCTTACTACTCACTTACATCACTTAAATCTTATGAACTCACCAGCTTAAATGCTGATCTACGCTTTCAAAATAACTTGTATTCTCAGGAGACCAGTAGACAGGTACGCGCACCGAAATTCAGAAGATGGAGCAGTATAGCTTCATGTCTTTTTGTTATTTTGCTATGTATTCTATTGTGACAACCCGAAATTTTTCCCGTTATCCTTACCCAGTTTCCGTTAATAAAATTTGGGTTTTTATTTAATTCCGTCAAATTTCTTAATTTGGGAAGGACCTTAAGTTTTAAATAAATAATATTTATTTTATACGATTCGGAATAAACCGGGAATCACGCGAAAAACTTGAAACTTCATCGAAAATCACCGAGTTCACGGTCAGGACGAGTTTACGATCGTAAACTCGTGTAGACCGTAAACACGTTTACGGTCAGGTGGACCCCTTTTTGACCGAGAACTCTACCCTATATATAGAGTATTTGGCCTTCATTTCACACTTTAAACACTTCAAAGGCTTTCTCTCTCTACTCCCTCTCTACCTTCATCGAGAATCCTCAAGAACACGGTTGAGTTTTGGACCGAAAACACCTTCTTTGCCTTCAAAAACCCTAAGTATCATCTTCCCCTTCATAAACCGAGTTAAAATCCTTCATTTTGGACTTAAGATCATCACTCTTTGCTTGAACAAAAGAGTTTACGGTCCTATGAATCTTCATAGACCGTAAACCCTTATAAAGGGTGTTCTTATAGCCTTTACCCTTCCAAAGGCTAAGCATGGTCCCTAGAATCCGATGCCTTTGAATGAAACCCTTGAAAACCATCATTTGTGCAAGATTGATGAGTTTACGGTCTAGTGTATCTCCTTAGACCGTACACCCTTCAATGACCGTATATTCATGGGCCGTAAACCCATGGAACCGTAAAACCCATGGACCGTAAACCTTATGACTGTAAGATCATTAGACCGTGAACTCCATGACCGTAAGGTCATTGGACCAAGAACACTAAAACCGTAAACGCTAAGACCGTGAACACTTGGACCGTGAACTCCAAGACCGTGAACACTTGGACCGTGAACTCCAATGGTCATACCTGTTTGACCGTAAACTCTATAGGGTGGCCATATACCCTAATTATGTAATCATATGTGATTGTATTCCATAAATCTTAGAGTTTCCTAGCCAATAAGGGTGTTACCCTTCTTATTTAGTCGTCTATACACTAAATTCATACACATACATGTATATATGTGTCTATTAGGATCACTGTGTGCTCAAGGATACACCTGACACTCTGCACTCCTCTTCCAACCACACGTCAGACCCACTCACTTCAGGTGAGTTCATACCCCTACATTTTCCGTGTTTTTAATGTTTTCAGGGGGGAATACAAGCCAAAATCAAAGTATTTTATTAAGTTTTAAACTTATTAATACAACTCAACGATTTCCATGTTTAATAACTTACTCAGATATTGTATCCCTTTTGTAATATGTTGAGCATAAGGGAAATTTTTATTTTGGAAATCTCACTTCATAGCTTTCAGAAAGGTTTTACAAAACATTTTCCATAACAACACTAGTAAACTATAATGGGTATAGTTTGGGATAACCCTCTAGGCAGTTTCTACCAAATCAGATTTCATGGATGAATATATATATAAACTATGGCCGATTTAGTTTATGTTATATGTTTTCTCAGAAGTATAAAGTACATTTATTCAAGAATAATTACTGTTTTATACTGTTTTCTCGCTAGTAAACTAGATTATACAGAATTGTGAGGCTCTACTTCAATATTGTACCCTTTAGTGTACGGAACTAAATCCTATCATAGTATAACCAGAGTCTCCTGGAGGGAGAGCGTGAGATTTGTGAATAGATCTATTCGGGACTGACAATCCCACACCAGAACTGCTAGCTACAGTTAGGCAGGCATGCCTGTGGTGGACAAATGTCATTTAACTTAACGCCTGAAGAACGTTATAAAGGTCTCTAGGTCATATCAAGTATGGTTATACGACTCGTAAATAAGTATAAACTAACTTTGGTTTACGGACTCTAATCTTCATTTGTTTTATTTTGAGTAATAAAACTACTTTTATACATACTGATAGTAATCAGGGATTTCTAAACTTACATCTCTACCTCTAGAACGGGTAACTTGTTTTTAGGGAAAATATAGGATTTTCCCAGGATAACAATGACATTTCTAAAACTGATGATTTATCTTCCACTAATAGATACTCTTTCAACACTACTTTTCATAAGAAAATATGGGATTTCTTGAGGAACACTTTTCAAAAAGAATCAAAGAACATTTTTCCACCAAAACTAAATGCTTATGAACTCACCAGCTTTATGCTGATATTCTTTCAAAATTGCTTGTATTCTCAGGGAATTAGTAGACAGGTATCTGCTGGATTTTGAGAAGCTGGAGTAATAAGAGTCTTAAATTTATATTTTACATACTTTTGATGTACCTAAAACAAGATTTCAAACTGATGTAAACATTTTACTTATATATGTATCCACTGAATTGGTTGTGTTTCTATGTTTCCTATTATTCATTGGTTATGATGCTAAACATGACGTCCTCCGCCCCCGAACGTTTCCGCCGTTCCGGTTTGGGGGTGTGACATCTATATTATGTGAACACATACTTTGTAAACACTTTCTTTCTAATGAAATGGTTGTTTATTACTTTGCTTACTATGATGCATGTCTTGTGATACTAAACATGACGTCCTCCACCCCAGAACGTTTCCGCCGTTCCGGTTTTGGGGTGTGACACTTTCTCTCTCTCTCTCTCTCTCTCTCTCTCTCTATATATATATATATATATATATATATATATATATATATATATATATATATATATATATATATATATATAGGGAAAGGATCAAATGAGAACGCCTAAAAGGTTGGGAACGAGAGAACAATTGTGAACCAATCATTTTATAAGGGCATAAAAAGAATTTTACACTATAATTAATTATGGATAATTAATTAATTCCTAAAATCATGGGATTTAATCTGATTAATAGATTTTTTACCCAAATATTAGGAATTTGTATAATCTATTTTTAATTAACAAAATCAATAAAATGATTTTAAAATACGTTTTTACCATAATTTAAAAAAAACGTTTTTTTTTTAAGTTTATTTTTACCAACAACATCAAAAATACTGACGCGTTAATCATTTTATCTGAATATTTGTAATCATACATGAATAAAATATATTTGTAATCATATATGAACCCGGTAATAATCTTGAATGAATAGATGGATTAAGTTATATTCATAAATGAATAAAACACAAATGAATGAACACAGGTAAATATGGATTGCTTTTGAATAGAAAACATTGAATACACATTTAATCACTAATGAATACATTTCTGTCAGTAATGAATATACATCTAATCTTATGAATACATTTGAATACACATCTAATCACTAATGAATACACTTCAATCTGTAATGAATATACATCTAATCTTATGAATACATTTGAATACACATGTTCTTGCTCTTTTGTTGGACCTGCATGGAATATGGAAAACAAAGACATAGCCAAACTCTGTTCATCACCATCACCATTTGTTTCATAGAAGCATGAGATATGTGGTAGACTTCTCTTCATTCGGTTCTTCAAGAATATTACTCAAAACAAAAGCCTAATCATCTGGGCCTTTTTCTAGAATTCGATTTTAAGAGACAAACAAAAAAAATCAGAAATAGTTACAACACAATTATTGTTCTATAGAGATTAAATCAAAATAAAATCGAATCGGAACATCGGGAATCAGTGAAAAAGGTGCGAAGGAGGAATCCATTCCAAGCAAGTGGACTGTATGTGCAATCGGTTTAGGTTTAGTCGGAGACAAATATACCTTCGTGTGATCTAATGGCATCGTCTATTGACCTGAGATCTCTATGGATTTCGATCGCAGAACCCATGATTGTCGTGGGTTGTCACGGTAGTTGAGGCGCCAATCACGCACCCCCCCCCCCTTCATGATTGCAATTACCAATCGTGATTTTTGCATTCATTCTTCAAGCCCTGAATTGGGATTGCAAGTCCTGGGGCTTACGAGAAATCGAGGCGGTCTCTTGGCCTTCGATGGAATTGGCGATGGTGGAAGTCAAAGGGGCAGAGAGTGTGAAGGCTCACCAGCGACGACAACAATAGGGCGACAGGAAGGGAAGAAAGGCTCGCATCGCAGGTGTGTTGTCCGATATTCAAGATGTTGTGTCCAGTTGCAATCGTCTCCGGGGTTCGAAGAGGTTGAAGAGACAGAGGGAAGAGGGGAAGGAAGGGCGTCGATTCTCCGGCGACCCTTGTGGCTTAATCGTCGTCATCAGCAGCGCACAAATGGGGGAACACAAACGACTTTTTACTTCCCCTTCTCAATATCTCTTTGAATCATACTGTGTTATTCGCCACTAACAACCCAAATCGGCGGACATTTTTTCCTTCTCGGTCTCTCTTTCTCTTTCTCTGAATCCTCTTGCAAGTGATGTTGTTTAGACCAGGGGAAGGTCGGCTATGGTTGTCACAGTCGATGCATCTTATGAAACCCTAGAGAGAGAGAGGATATAGATACGAGAATAAGAAAGGTAAGAGGTGAGGGTGAGAAATTATAGGAATTAGGTAAAGTTGCAATTCCTATTATGCCCTTCTGACCATTCAAATGTTACACTTAAATGCCAGTACTTTTAGAATTTTTCATAAATCCCCCATTTAATAGTAACCATAGATCTTAGTATTTAGATAGTCCAGATCTGTTCTCGCGTTCTCAACCTTTTAGGCGTTCTCATTTGATCCTACTCCTATATATATATATATATATATATATATATATATATATATATATATATATATATATATATATATATATATATATACAGAGAGAGAGAGAGAGAGAGAGGTGGGTTCAATTGAGAAAATAAAAAAGGTTGAGAATAAGGGAATCATTCTCAGCCATTCATTTAATCTAAGCATAAAAAGACACGGTGACAAACTTGTAAATATGTTAATAACCTTCAATCTCAAATACGTAACTATAGAGAATTCGATAACAGTTCGTTCATCATCAAAATTTCTCCTCCAACCTTCAACAATCATCCAGTGTTAATCAATCATCGATATTCGTGGCTGGGAGGTTCGCCGTTCAAGACAGATTCGCAACCCAAATTCATCAATTTCATCGATTTCTTTGTTGAATACTCCGAATGTTCGTAGCTTGCAAGCATTTGTTAAAGTTCATAACGAGTTTGGAGCTGGAATTTCCCAGATTCGCAAACGAAATCAGTTGGAATCGGAATTTCTTCGTTGTTCATGAAATTAGAATCGGAGTTCTGGACTCGCAGTCACAGTCGACATTGAAGGACTCATAATTGGTACTCACAGGTTCCCAATCGAATTTTCGGAAATCAAAATCAAAATGAGAAATCGATCAGACATATGATGTCGCATCTGAAGTCGAAATCGGAAGTATATGATGATTTTGGAATTGATAACTTGATGTTTTTAACATTTTTAAAATAGTTAACTTGTATGCACTCCAACTGTTTGATGAAATGCATAAACTAAATTACCACGTTATATTCACATATGAATATGTTTTCTCACCTGAATCAGTATATGATTATTAAAAAGACAAAACAAATATGCAATTTTGTATGTTATTCATATGTGAATAACATATAAAAATTATATATATTTGTCAAAATACCTTCTAATATTCATAAGTGAATATATTCACAAGTGAATATACTTTGTAATATTCATATGTGAATATACTGTGTAATATTCATAAGTGAATATATCATCTAATATTCACAAGTGAATATACTATGTAATATTCACATGTGATATACCATGTAATACTATGTAATATTCACATATGAAATTTCATTTAATATTCATAAGTGAATATACCATCTAATATTCACAAGTAAATATATTATGTTTATATTCACAAGTGAATACATCGTCCAATATTTAAATATGAATATACTATGTTTATTATATGCTATATTCATATATGAATGATACTTAAATTGTAAAAAAAATAAATCATACTTTTTATTCGTAAGTGAATAACGAATGTACTGTAATAAAACCTGATGCATTTTTATTCACTTATGAATAACGATAGCTGAAAATATAAAAAAAATAAATTTTTTATTTTATCTTAAAACTATATCAATATGGATGTCTATTTGTAGAGAATAAAAAATCATGAATTTTGGTATATTTAAAATCATTTTTTGATAAAAATAGCTTCTAAAAATTAAAAAAAACGAAAAAAAACTATGTTTTTATATATATTAAGGTAATGATTAGCATAGTTTAGAAATATGTTTTGTTGGAAAACACATATCTATTCATTTCCCATTTCCGCTGGTACAACGGAGACTTTTGCGGCAAAAATAAATGAGTGTCTGAGAATGATTCTCTCATTCTCAACCTTTTTTTTTCTCAATTGAACCCTCCCCTCTATATATATATATATATATATATATATAATTTGGTTCCCTGAAAAACCAATAATTATGGTTTTCTATTGAACTTTTTCATATATATATATATTATTTCACCTATATCCAAGATCTTTTCATTTCCTCACCTCTAACATGCGTACGATTTTTACAACCACAACGTTAAAAACATGTACAATCTTTAAAACTATTTAACTTTTACAAACTTAATGCTTTTTAAGATCTTTATGACTACACTTTTTTTTTCAATAAAAAGTAATTGTGATAATGTTAATAATTTATTTTGAAATTAGTTACGAGTATTGACTATATACGAATTGATGATTTTCTTATACCCATGCAAATACAATTTTGATGTCTTTTATATAAACAAAAACACCAACCAGAACTTTGGAAAAACAATATCAACGTCACAAGATGTTGTGTTAGGTTGAATTTGTGGAGAATTCTAAGACGCAGTACAAAATATAGTTGTGGTACAAAAGCTGGCATGTGTATTTGATTTCAAAAAAACCGTCACAGCCATTTTGCATCTACGATTATTAATAAAATTGCATCGTTTTGTAAAAATATATCAATTCAACATTGCAGATTTGGCGATTTATTTGTGACAATTTATAATGAATAAATATAAGGTGATTCTATTTACATCAACCATATATTCTATAGATATCAACTCTTTATATTTTAAAAAATAAGAAAGAATTTTGTATTCTTAAATATCAAAATATTATATTTTTCCAACTTACATTTTAAATATTATATATATTATATTTATTGTTAATAAACTTTTAAAATATCATATTTATCAAAATATTTATTTTTAACATTTTTTAAATTATTATAATCATTTTGAATTTTTATTAATGATCAATAGACTATTATACCATTCTTATAAATCTCAATTAAAAATGTCATACACACAAATAATAAGACCTTGAATATATGTTTTCACAAGAATAATCAGTATTTCAAAGTGAATTACAAAGTGGATTATCGAAGAATAAATGGATAATAGATAGTGAACGTTTGAGAAGCAATTAGCACCACATGACAATGAGGTTAATGATCATCAATATGGAAGATGTAGATTTGATCATGAAAGTCAAAGTAATAGCTATAAACAAGAGCGGTCCACCTATAACCTTCATCCTCATCATAAACATGAGTTCTTCCATATATCTACTTATACGGTCTCATTGATTGCGACAAACAAACACCAATAGTTTAGTAATTCTAGCTATATATACAATATACATTTGTTTATCAAGTTAAGATATACCGATGCTTCTACATGGTGTGAGATTTTTTTTTTCCTTCCGTAAAGTAGCGATTCAATAATTTTATATATGAAGTGTTAATTCAAAATTATGAGTATATACATTAATAAACAAGCATAGATGGAAGAAGTGATGGTTTCAAATTCATAATTGAAAGATAAAAGTAAGTGTTTGATGGGTAAAGTTTGCTTCTTTAACCAACTTCAAGTGAACGTAATGTTTTATTCATTTGTATATGATATTTTAAATTTTTATTTATAAAAGGGTATAATAGTCTATTAATAAAAAGACAAAACTACAACAATGGTGCATGTGATATGTATTTTTTCTGGGATTTGGTCAAAACCCAACTTTTTTGGAACGATGATCCTTTTGAGTTAGTTTCATTGCGTATTTGGTCCATCAGAAAAATAAAATGACTGTAATACCCTTGAGATATTTACTTTCCATTTTTCTTTCATTTTTAAAAAAAATTTAATACATATTTATTTATTTAAATAATTAAAAAATAAAAGGGTCTCTCTCTCTCTCTCTCTCTCTCTCTCTCTCTCTCTCTCTCTCTCTCTCTCTCTCTCTCTCTCTCTCTCCATAATTAGTATGTTTTTCTATAAATTTTGAAGCTAAGTTCAACTATTTACCCCTCTTGATCATTACAATTGATTAATGAGTTTGAATCGTATGCAAAAGAACTATCTTGGTGTGTTTGATTGATGATCAGGCCCGGTTATGGGCAAGGGCAAGGTGGGCACAAGAGCAGGGGCCATTTTTTAAGGGGCCTTTTTTTTAATACTATATTCAGCAGCCTAATCTCTAATATTCCAGACGTGAAGGCAACGATTATTCAGCGTAAGCGCCTAGGTAATCTCGATTAATCGATAAGGAAGCGGGAAATCACTCGATCCATGATCCTCATTCGTCCGCTCTTGCATACTGAGGTTCTGCTAATCAGGTAATCATCTAATCGATCATTCATGTATGTATTATGTATTTATGTTATCAGATCAGAATTCAGAAATCAGAATGTTATCGGATTATAGTTTTCTAGTTCTCTCTAATTGACATGGATATCGTCATACGAATTTTGGGCAAATTGAGACTAGTTTTATTTTCTATATATATGGGGCCCAAGCAAGTATTAGTGACGAAATTTGTTGTTTTTAACGCAGTGGAAGGACAAGGAAGGAAAGACTCCTCTAAAATTGGCTTCAAACCTATATAATGTAGCTAAAACCTTGATGGAATTAGGTGCCAATGTGAACTACTATCGTCCAGGTGTCTTGGTTTGGTCCCTGATGCATGATAATGAAGGTATTTTACTTGGCTTGTCAGTTGGCCATGGTAATTTCTCTTACTAATTTTATCAAATTTAATTTCAGTGGTTATTCTGAAACTGCTCTTCACCATGCTGCAAAAAGAGGCCTAGAACAGATGCTTAAGCTACTGCTTTTACATGGTGGTGTGTGCTTTTTAGTCGATGAGAACATTGCTACTATATCGTTTGTTACGTTTTTTAGGACCCATCATAGTCAATGATATAACAGAAAATAACAATTATAGTTATTTGGTGTGAATGGGACAAAAGGTAAAAAAAAAGGATTTTGGACTCCAAAAGTACCCATGAAAGCTTGTCATGTTATT